TACATAGAATACTTTTCGTTGTTCTAAACAATCTAACTATTTTTTATTCCAAACTGCCTCGCATTTCACTAGAAAAATGACTCTGAATATACACTCTCCGACAAGGATATTCAGTTCGGGAAATCATATTATCAGACCAGGTGAGCTTAGTTTTGGTCCAACGCATCTGCAAAACAAAGAGAAAACCGGAAATTTTGAAGATAAACCAAAATCCTGGTCGTTCACGCGTTCTTTCGGATCATTACGAACAGAATGTTATCTGAATTAATATCATCCGGAAAATGCAGTACCAAATTCAACATGAGCTCCAAACTAAATTGGGAGTCGAAATTTAGTGGAAAGCATATGACATGTTTAGAAGTTATGGTTTATTCACAAGAATTAAGCGAAAAAAGCCATTACTTAAAAAAACATACACACACAAAACGGGTAAAAAAACGCTGAAATTGGACGGCTGATGACTGGCGGAAAATAATTTTGTCCGACAAAAGTAGGTTCCAATTACATGTATTTGGATCAGACGGACAGACAGACGAAAGTGGTGTGGTGCTGGAAGAAGCCCTGGTGAACAATTCAAAAATCACCAACCGTAAAATTTGGTAATAGTGTTACCGAAATAACATTAAATTCTCTAACTCCGTAATTTTGATCCTCAAATTCTACATGAAAAGCTTTCCATAACGACCTACACGATAATCCTTCCAAAATTAATTTTTTGTGTAAGTTCTATTGTAAACCAAATTTAGTTAAGAATAGCGATAGATATTACCTTTTTATCTATTTATATCGAATTACGATCAGATCTTGGTCGTTGCCTCGGAACTTCCGAATAGGTATGATCATTTTCTCCATAGGCCATTCATTTTGATTCGTTATGGCTTGTGCGAGTTGTTGAATCACGATAAGTACGTTATTGATATCCAGATTTTTGTTATCTGCCATTTTGTCATTTTCTAATTTTCGATCTTCTTGTTCATTTATTTCAGGTTTTTCTTCACTCCATATGATGATCTGTTCGTAAAGATCTTCATTGTCCGTTTCTGAGTCTAATATCGAACATTACGCAAATGATGCGTGTATGGTTATTGCTTATTATATATATATATATTTTTAGCGGGAGTTTCAGGTGTGTATGTCTTGAATAGTGTATTTTTCAATTAATTCAAAATATAAGTTAACTATGAATTAAAATTTGT